TTCCTGTCAAGGGTGGTGATGCCTCTGTTGTACGTGATACTGCCACCTGGCCGCCATTAACAAGGGGAGTAACTGGTGTTAGTGAGGGAAAATCGTAGCCACAATCATGAGGTATAAATGTTATATCATAAACACCAACTGCAGATGAAACAACAGATACTGATTCCATCAAGGCATCATTTGGTTTTGATGGTAAAATTCTATAATCATTTACTTCTGAAAAAGAGATAGAAAAGTATGCTATAATAAAAGTGTGATTTAAATTTTGTTACTTATATATATATATATATATCATACATGTGACATAATTGGAAGTGCAGGAAAGGATCCCTGAAAACGACATACTTTCTAAATGGTAGGCTGGCTTTTATATACAAATGTTGTTCCTACAAAAGCATGAAAAAGTAGAAAAGCAAAATAAAATTAAAACTGTAATAAAGAATAACTTCATGGCTGATATAAGCTTGAAGATTTTAAAATTTTACCATTATTAATATAAAAGTACAGAGTTATGGTATGATTGCCAATGAGACAACTCTTCACCAAAGTTCAGATGTAAGCAATTTGAACATTTGACTGACAATTGTTTATAGCTTCATTTCTACAAGCAGTTATCAGAGGCATTGTTTGGATGAGAACATGTAAGACAAAAATTCAAATTAGTTCAAGACATCAAATGTTAGATCAGTCAAAGAAAATCACAGACCAAAAATCAGAAGACAACATGTATCAATATTCAGCAATAATAATTTTTAAAATTCTATTATGTTTCTAATATTTACTAAATACAAAAAGAAAATAAACATTGCAAGAAAATGTAAGGTGAAAGAAGTTTTTTGTTGACTATTAGTATGTAAAACAAGTCACATCATAAATGAAAGCAAATCTTTTGTAGTTAAATGATTAAATTAAATGATTAAAATTAATCTTACTTACTGTAAATTCAGAAATTATTGGGTGCATTTATTATTGAGATTTTTCAAAAATGGACAAGAATGCGAGTTTAATTATTGCGATTTTAGAAAAATCTACATGCAGATCTATGGTTTAGTTATCAAAATGCGAGTTCTTATTATTGCGATACTCACCGATATCGCATTATTCGCATTAATAAAAAACTCGCAATAATTTCTGAATTTACAGTAGATAATGGTTAGAAAGAAATAATTCCAACTTACTATCTAAATTATCAACAGGAGCTTTTCTTCCAATGTACACATCATCAATAAAGAATTCAAACACAATGCCCAGTTTAAACACTCGGATTTGTTTTATGTAAAAATTTAACGCAGTAGGCTGTTTAGGCATGGCATGTCGTTGACTAAGGGCAGCTTTCATGTCTAAGCAGTGAAGGTGCCATCTGTTAAAAAACAGGGAATATAAAATCAATTACATTGTAAAAATGTTTTGTCAGTTATAGTCTGATAGAGTATCCAATTGCATGATAAAAATAAGTTTACAGTGCTGAGCTTTCATTACAAGCCTACAACCAATGGTCAGGCCAGCTGGCCAGACTAGATAGTTTCTATCAGGACTGGTTTATTTGGCGAGAAATATTATATAATATGTTTTTACATAATAGACAAATGTAATATAAGTACCATACTACTGCAATTAGTTTAAGAAATAATATGTACTGACAACACCTTATATAATTCAATTGAACAGCCTTGTACAATAATATTTCTTATCTTACCTCCTATACATTTCTAGGATTATCATTGGTTAAAAGTTAGCGTGTGGAGACCGTGTATATTTCATATTGGGTTAGTAGGTGGGGCTTACTCTAATACACTGTTAGTAGTGGTGTTACGTCCCTTTATAAAAACAATACGGGGTTGAGGAAAAATCTGAAACTTTTCTACAAACAAAGAAATTGATGATGAACAATTGAAATAAATGCAGAAATCACAAATGCCACTTACCCTTCATTGGTATTAAATGTAACAGGTACATTACTTTATCCTTCTATTGTCTTAACTCAAATGTCACTAACCCTTCATTGGTATTAAATGCAACAGAAACATTACCTTACCCTCTAGTGCCTTAACTCAAATGCCACTTACCCTTCATTGGTATTAAATGTAATAGGTACATTACCATACCCCTCTATTGTCTTAACTCAAAAATCACTTATCCTTCATTGGTATTAAATGTAACAAGTACATTACTTTACCCCTCTATTGTCTTAACTCAAATGCCACTTACCCTTCATTGGTATGAAACCTAACAGGTACATTACCTTACCCCTCTATTGTCTTAACTCAAAAGTCACTTACCCTTCATTGGTATTAAATGTAACAAGTACATTACCTTACCCCTCTATTGTCTTAACTCAAATGCCACTTACCCTTCATTGGTATTAAATGTAACAGGTACATTACTTTACCCTTCTATTGTCTTAACTCTAATGTCACTTACCCTTAATTGGTATGAAACCTAACAGGTACATTACCTTACCCCTCTATTGTCTTACCTCAAAAGTCACTTACCCTTCATTGGTATTAAATGAAACAGGTACATTACTTTACCCCTCTATTGTCTTAACTCAAAAGTCACTTACCCTTCATTGGTATTAAACGCAACAGAAACATTACCTTACCCTCTAGTGCCTTAACTCAAATGCCACTTACCCTTCATTGGTATTAAATGTAACAGGTACATTACTTTACCCTTCTATTGTCTTAACTCAAATGTCACTCACCCATCATTGTCTGAGTATTAAATGTAACAGGTACATTACCTTAACCCTTAATTGTCTTAACTCAAAAGTCACTTACCCTTCATTGGTATTAAATGTAACAGGTACACTACCTTACCCTTCTATTGTCTTAACTCAAATGTCACTAAACCTTCATTGGTACCTCTATTGTCTTAACTCAAATGTCAATTACCCTTCATTGGTATTAAATGTAACAGGTACATTACCTTACCCCTCTATTGTCTCACTTACCCTTCATTGGTATTAAACATAACAGGTACATAACCTTACCCCTCTATTATCTCACTTACCCTTCATTGGTATTAAACATAACAGGTGCATTACTTTACCCTTCTATTGTCTTAACTCAAATGTCACTTACCCATCATTGTCTGAGTATTAAATGTAACAGGTACATTACCATACCCCTCTATTGTCTTAACTCAAAAGTCACTTACCCTTCATTGGTATGAAACCTAACAGGTACATTACCTTACCCCTCTATTGTCTTAACTCAAAAGTCACTTACCCTTCATTGGTATTAAATGTAACAGGTACATTACTTTACCCCTCTATTGTCTTAACTCAAATGCCACTTACCCTTCATTGGTATTAAATGTAACAGGTACATTACTTTACCCTTCTATTGTCTTAACTCAAATGTCACTTACCCATCATTGTCTGAGTATTAAATGTAACAGGTACATTACCTTAACCCTTAATTGTCTTAACTCAAAAGTCACTTACCCTTCATTGGTATTAAATGTAACAGGTACACTACCTTACCCTTCTATTGTCTTAACTCAAATGTCACTAACCCTTCATTGGTACCTCTATTGTCTTAACTCAAATGGCAATTACCCTTCATTGGTATTAAATGTAACAGGTACATTACCTTACCCCTCTATTGTCTCACTTACCCTTCATTGGTATTAAACATAACAGGTACATAACCTTACCCCTCTATTGTCTCACTTACCTTTCATTGGTATTAAACATAACAGGTACATAACCTTTCCCCTCTATTGTCTCACTTACCCTTCATTGGTATTAAACGTAACAGGTACATAACCTTTCCCCTCTATTGTCTCACTTACCCTTCATTGGTATTAAACGTAACAGGTACATCATAAGTAGTGTATATATACTCTAACATGTCATTCTGGTAAGTGTAGGTTAGACGAATTCTATTCTGAATTTCATTTCCACGATAAGCAAAGCAAACCTGAAATAAATATTTTTATATTGCATAGTTTTAAATACCAGCTTACAATGCAACACTGATGCCTGAACTTTGTTAAATTCTGGTGAAGATAAGTTACTTTTGATGGTTTTTTTTTAGACAGAATATATCATGCTATTTTTACTACATACGTAAGAAGACGATTTTTGCATTTACAGACACTTTTGAAATTAATAATAGGCATGAATAATTTAGTAAAATCTTCTGAAATTCTACAAAATATGTGACATTGATGATGTCATCTTACCAATATCTGATAAAATAAGTGTAAATTCAGAAGTTATGGTGTGCATTTATTATTGCCATTTTTGGACAATCAACATAAATGTGAGCTTAATTATTTCGATTTCAATAAATGCTGTATACAAATAATGCCATCAATATTTAAAATGCAAGTTTTTATTTTTGCAACACATATGTCATCGTAATTTTCACAATTATGAAAACATCGCAAACATTTCTGAATTTACAGTATTTTCTTGATTATCTGAAAAACAATGCTAAAACACATTTCGTCTGATACAATTATTTTAAGCTTTTTATTTCAACCTTGATACAATGCAGTATCTTAGATCAAATCAACCTGAGATAAATTCTTAAACAAGGAACAAAGGTAAATATAATAAAATGCTTCGCTGGGGCGCAGCTTGATACGACCGCAGAGGTCGAACCCTGAACAGTTGGGGCAATTATGGACACAACATTCAAGCTTGATACAGCTCTGAATTTGGATTGTTATTAAATATTTGACACAGCATAGGTTTCTGACACAGAAAGAATGTGGTCTAAGAACTTGAATTTTTTTAATTTACCTATTATGGTCCAATGTCCAAAATCAAAATACATGGTTAGATTCAGCATATCAAAGAACCCCATATATTCAATTTTTGTTGAAATTAAACAAAGTTTAATTTTGGACCCCAACTTGGACAAACTTGAAAACTGGGCCCATAATCAAAAATCTAAACACATGTTTAGATTCAGCATATCAAAGAACCCCAAGAATTCAATTTTTGCTAAAATCAAACTAAGTTTAATTTTGGACCCTTTGGACCCTAATGTAGACCAATTTAAAAAACGGGACTTAAAATTAAAAATCTAAATACACGGTTAGATTTGGAATATCAAAGAACCCCAATAATTCAATTTTTGATGAAATCAAACAAAGTTTAATTTTGGACCCTTTTGACCTCAATATGAACCAATTTGATAGCAGGGCCAACAAATAAAAAATCTAAATTCATGGTTAGATTCAGCATATCAAAGAACCCCATATATTCAATTTTTGTTGAAATAAAACTAAGTTTAATTTTGGACCCCAACTTGGACAAACTTGAAAACTGGGCCCATAATCAAAAATCTAAACACATGTTTAGATTCAGCATATCAAAGAACCCCAAGAATTCAATTTTTGCTAAAATCAAACTAAGTTTAATTTTGGACCCTTTGGACCTTAATGTAGACCAATTTAAAAAACGGGACTTAAAATTAAAAATCTAAATACACAGTTAGATTTGGAATATCAAAGAACCCCAATAATTCAATTTTTGATGAAATCAAACAAAGTTAAATTTTGGACCCTTTTGACCTCAATATGAACCAATTTGATAGCTGGGCCCACAAATAAAAAATCTAAATTCATGGTTAGATTCAGCATATCAAAGAACCTCATATATTCAATTTTTGCTGAAATCAAACAAAGTTTAATTTTGGACCCCAATTTGGACCAACTTGAAAACTGGGCCCATAATCAAAAATCTAAACACATGTTTAGATTCAGCATATCAAAGAACCCCATATATTCAATTTTTGTTGAAATCAAACAAAGTTTAAATACTGGACCCTATCTTGGACCAACTTGAAAACTGGGCCCATAATCAAAAATCTAAACACATGTTTAGATTCAGCATATCAAAGAACCCCAAGAATTCAATTTTTGTTAAAATCAAACTAAGTTTAGTTTTGGACCCTTTGGACCTTAATGTAGACCAATTTAAAAAACAGGACCCAAAATTAAAAATCTAAATACACGGTTAGATTTGGAATATCAAAGAACCCCAATAATTCAATTTTAGATGAAATCAAACAAAGTTTAATTTTGGACCCTTTTGACCTCAATATGAACCAATTTGATAATGGGGTCCACAAATAAAAAATCTAAATACATGGTTAGATTCAGCATATCAAAGAACCCCATATATTCAATTTTTGTTGAAATCAAACAAAGTTTAATTTTGGACCCCAATTTGGACCAACTTGAAAACTTGGCCAAAAATCAAAAATCTAAATTCATGTTTAGATTCAGCATATCAAAGAACCTCATATATTCAATTTTTGCTAAAATCAAACAAAGTTTAATTTTGGACCCTTTGGACCTTAATGTAGACCAATTTGAAAACAGGACCCAAAATTAAAAATCTAAATACACTGTTAGATTCGGCATAACAAATAAATAAATGTGATCAAAGATTTTACAAATCTAATGCGCCATACTGTGCAATTAAAGATTACTTCTTGAAATTTTTCAATATTTGAAATTTGAAAAAAAAAAAATATTTGAAGAATAATTCTTTTTAATTTCTGAAATCTGAAATGAGAAAAAATTGATCCCCCCCTTTTTTTCCCCAAAAAAATTCTTTCCCTCAAGATATGGTCATAATCTCAATTCAAATTTCCAATGGATTTGGCAACCATAATTACCCATTTAAATTTACCATAGTGCTAACTTAATCTATTTTATAATAGAATTAAAAATATAGTGTCAAATCTTTCATATGGACTTTTTTGTAAAAAAAAAAGATGCAACATTTGCAGATATTTTTACTGGTCTTCCTTTATAAATATGCATTACTTTAAACATAATTTAAAAGCAGTGTAAGGGAGGTAATTAAAATGTATGTGGATTACCTCCTTTACACTGTTTTAAATTGTCTAAATTGTTCATTAACCATTACTTTATACATAATTTAAAAGAAGTGTAAGGGAGATAATTTCAATGATGTATTTGATTTATCTCCCTTACACTGCTTTAAATTATGTTTTGTACTAAAGTATTTGTCCATTAACCAGGACAACCTTGTTTTTCCCCCTTTTTTGCCCCTAATTCCTAAACGGTTTGAGCCATAACCCCCCAAAGCAAATCCTAACCATCCCTTTGTGGTATGGAAACTTGTAGTATAATTTCAGAGAGATCCATACACCGTTCCACAGTTATTGTCTGGAAACTAGAAAATGCTTATTTTTGGCCCCTTTTTCCTTAACTGTACCATAACCCCCAAAATCAATCCCAACCTTCCTTTTGTGGTATTTAACCTTATGGTCAAATTTCAAAAAGATCCATTCTCTCAAACTAAAGTTAGAGTGCGAAAACCAATGTGTCTTCGGACGACGACGACGACGACGCCAACGTCATACCAATACACGACCACAAAATTTTGCGGTCGTATAAATAGCTGAAGGAAGAACATTTTTTTTAATTTTTAGGCTTAACAAAACCTACCAAAAATACACTGGTTGTCAACATGAGTCCTCTACTAGTCGCTACCATATCTCTATATAGATAGGATGGTTTTCTTAACACCTTTTGTCCACAAAATGGTTCCACTTTATTGGTCATCGTTCCACCAATACCATTAGGTATGGAAGTTTCAAAAGTATAATGTTGATTTTTTCCGTCTGGATTTGTGAGTTTTTTGGAACACCTGGTACCATACATTTTACTTAGAGCATCTTCCACCTAAAATGAACACTTTCATTATATATAATTTGTAAATAATTATTGGTTCATCTTATATTTCCATATCTCCACTTTTTTATCCTACAAAAGTAAAACAAGTATGACCATCAAGGTTTTTCAAATAAAGTGTTCAAAAGCCATGTATATGATGAAACCAGATATCAAGATTTCAGTTGAGCATTCATTGGGCTCATATTTGGCAAACCTTTTGGAATTTTGGGTCATCAATGCTCTCCAACTTGGTACTTAATTTGGACATTTGACAATTTTGATTTGAGCGTCACTGATCAGTCTTTTATAATAAATTTGATGAGTTTTTTTCATTTCTTCCAAGTAACATATTTGTTGATGCAAAGAGAACATCTAATGTCAAAATACACAAAAAAAAAAACATTTAGAAAGAAAAGAAAGTAATGTACAGTTAACTCTCATGGTCTCGAACTCAGATGACTCAAAATTTTGGACGAGTCTAAGTTTTCCTGTGATCCTGAACTTTATTCAATACAAATAATTCATTGTATTTAGACTCCTGAATAGTCGAAATTGGATGAGTCGAAATTTCGGTTGTGTCTAACCAAAGTGACGGTCCAAAGGTTAACAAAGCATATAAATTGCATTCTTTGTGTCGACGAAATACACATATGACCTCAGGGATTTAAATGGATTGAACAGTTTATCTGACAACACACCTGTAATTAAATTTCCAGACATTGACAACTGATTTGACTTATGACTTTCTTTTACCAAGAGTATTTACCCAAGATTTTCTTCTATCACCATAATAACTAATTAGCAATACATTGTTATAGACTATGAAATTTTTTTTTAAAAGTTTTATAATAAATTAACTGTAATTATACATTTTTGAGCTTGATAGTGAATAAAGTGAGGATTAAGTGAGCAACTCAAAACTTCTCAATCAGCGGTTTTAATCTTTTGTATTCTCTTGTGGGAAAAAGATCGAAATAAAAGATAATGAAAGAAATCTAAATTTTTCAAAATCTGAAGAATGTTTTACTTGTGTTATTTAAGATTTGTGTTGTTTACTTTCAACATGCCTTTGAATGAATGTCAAAAACTACCAGAAAAATTGTTACTATACAAATAAATAACAAAGAGACAAAATAAACAACATAATTTTATAATAATTATAAAGACAATTACATACAAATACATCGATCTCAGCTGATTAGAATATCGATCCCAACCCATATACATGTATATCGATTTATTTTAGCCTTATCAAGCTAAGCAAGAGCTGTGTCCCTTTGTCTGTCAAACTACCTGTATTTGTTTCAGTCAAACTACGGGTATCTCGAAATATTTCTCTGGTCTGACTGACTTCGAGATAACCAGAGTCTACTGTATATTATAGAGAAAATAGACAAGTTTCCCTAAACTAGTGTAAGTCCCAAGTCAAAAGCTGTAATTCAGGGGTTGTTGTTGGTAGCTGTTTGTTATATTTGTTTTTGTTTATTGTTTTAGCTTAAATTGATCAGGCAGTTAGTGTCCTCGTTTGAATTGTTACACATGATATGCTGGGGTCTTTACAGTATGGGTTCTGCTCATTATTGAAGTTCGTACGGTAACCTATGGTTGCTTACATCCATATCATTTGGTCTCTGGTGTATAGATGTCTCATTGGAAATCATAAAAGAGAGAAGTTTTGTTTAAAAGGTTTTAAAATGTTTTAATATTTATCATGTTTATATGGAGGAACACTTTTTTGAATCAATATAGTGAAATAATTTGTTTGACTACACATTAGATAAAACATTCCAAATCAAATGAAAGCTATCGTGCAAGTTAAGGGATTTACTTATAAGAAGATGAGTTGAGGCTTCCCATTAATAGGTCCCACCTTTCATAGAAGCTAATGTACCTCTGTTTCTGTTCCAAATAGTCCAAGCATTCTACCAAACCTAGATTTTGTGTATTCGATTAATCAAATACTCACCTGCTGAGCTGAAGCAGTGGGACTAAATAGAGGAGAGGGAACAGTCAGACCAGTATGTAATACAGACAGGAAATTGCCACTAGGGGTTCCTGCTGCTGTCTGGCTAACAGTTACTGTCAAAGTTTCCCCACTACTTCCAGGTGTTGTCATGGATTGAATTCCACCAAGTCCTCCTACAAAAAATATATTTTGTACAAAACAGTTGGTGATTAAAACCAGCTGTTGTCATGTACTGAAACTGCTCTAGTTTTTGAGATACAAAACAAAAACTGCAGTTTTACCCGTATTTTCAATTTTTAACAACAGTCAACTAACAGTTAATGGATAAAATCCCCCGATATAATTTTTAAACTAGATTCCCTACAAAGCATTCAAGTAAATTTTGGTAACATTAATCCCAGTAGTTTCAGCGGAGACCAATTTTCAATATATTTATGACCACAGACTGACAGACTGACAACAATGAAAAATCATTGTAATAGCTCAAATAGCCAGTTAAGCAAGATTAGCTATGTATTTGTTCCAAGTTAAACAAGAGTGCACACGCTGAAATGCCTCGCCTTCTTTACTAATCATTGATATTATGTTGATAGTCCTAAATATATAGCTTTATTACAACTGTCACATAAACTTAACATTAACCAAGAAAACTAAACATGACCAATGAACCATGAAAATGAGGTCAAGGTCAGATGAACCATGCCAGGCAGACATGTACAGTTAACAATTCTTCCATATAACAAATATAGTTAACTAATTGCTTATAGTTTAAGAAAAACAGACCAAAACACAAAAACTTAACACTGAGCAATGAACCGTGAAAATGAGGTCAAGGTCATATAAACCCTGCGCGACTGACATATAGATCATAAAATATTTCCATACACCAAATATAGTTGACCTATTGCATATAGTATTAGAAAAAAAGACCAAAACTCAAAAACTTAACTTTGACCACTGAACCATGAAAACGAGGTCAAGGTCAGATGACACCTGCCAGCTAGACATGTACACCTTACAATCATTCCATACACCAAATATAGCAGACCTTTTGCATACAGTATAAGAAAAACAGACCAAAACACAAAAACTTAACTATAACCACTGAACCATGAAAATGAGGTCAAGGTCAGATGACACCTGCCAGTTGGACATGTACACCTTACAGTCCTTCCATACACCGAATATACTAGACCTATTGCTTATAGTATCTGAGATATGGACTTGACCACCAAAACTTAACCTTGTTCACTGATTCATGAAATGAGGTCGAGGTCAAGTGAAAACTGTCTGACGGGCATGAGGACCTTACAAGGTACGCACATACCAAATATAGTTATCCTACTACTTATAATAAGAGAGAATTTAACATTACAAAAAATGTTCTTTTTTTTTTCAAGTAGTCACTGAACCATGAAAATGAGGTCAAGGACATTGGACATGTGACTGTCGGAAACTTCGTAACATGAGGCATCCATATACAAAGTATGAAGCATCCAGGTCTTCTACCTTCTATAATATTAAGCTTTTAAGAAGTTAGCTAACGCCGCCGCCGGATCACTATCCCTATGTCGAGCTTTCTGCGACGAAAGTCGCAGGCTCGACAAAAAAATCATAAAGTAGATCTATAAATCATATTAAATTATCTTGTTGTCAGTACAATTAATGCCAGGATATAGCCTTTTTGTGCTGATGTGGCGTAAAGAAATCATCAATCAATCAGTATAATATTACACATAGACATATTAACTTGAAATAGTAAATCTAATCAAAGGTATGCACCTCTAGTGTAATGATAAATTGGTTTACCCTGTTCACTGTTGAATAATTTTACACATGCTTTTATTGTTTGTTACCAGATGAGAGTAATGATCACTATAATCAACATTTATAAATAAATGTACCTCGTTCAGAGTTGAAGGTAACTGTTAGTAGAGTTCCTGGCTGTGGATTGGTTGGTGCAGCTGTTACTGTGAAGGACTCAGATATATCTAAGAAAGCAAGATCATTCAGAGAATCCTCCAATTCTGTATTATCAGCTGAAGTTGTCAAGGGTTCTGAAAAAATATTATACAAAAAATGAACTTTTGTGTTCCATAGTTGTGGAAATTTCAGGCTCAAGTTATTTTCTGTGATCATGTAAAATGAGTGAAAATATTATCAATGCAAAAAGTTTTAACAAA